ATGGGGGAGCGGGAAGGGGGAGCGGGAAGGGCTTACCTTGATGTTGATCTGGTCGCCCACTTCCGGCTTCGCGTCCACGGCCGGCTTGGTGTCTTCGGGCGCTTTGTCGGACATGGTTGCGGCGGGGGGGCGGGGGGGAGGGGGGGGGGAGGGGCGGGGCGGGAGGTGGCGGACGGGGTGGAGGCGGGGGCGATGTGGCGGTGGGCGAAAGCGCGGGGAAAGCGCAGGGGATGAGAAAAGGCGGTTTCGGCGGGCAAAGTGAGGGGGTGATTGCCTCGAGCCTGCGCGAAAATGGCGTGGACACGTGGCGCGCACAAGGGATCGAGACGGGCGGCGATTGGAGGAGGCTGGAGTCTTGCAACGTGGACGCGTGGCCACGTGAGATGTTGGCAGCAAGGTGTACTGTATCCCTAAAATTTGTTGATGAAATGCGCTCATTTTCCAGGTTGCTCTACCTGGAAAGACTCTTTCCTACTCTTGTCGAGCAAATACAACTTTCCGAAAGACACCCCCAGCACTACCCCCAGCACTGGAGCTGATTTCTACCCTACAGCGCACGTCATGCGGATGACAATAATCGCTGCTCTTAACTGTGCTTCGTGTTTGGGGAAAGCAAAGACACAGCTGAAAGATTAAAGTTGATCCGTAATGCCCGATCATGGGGCATGCATAGCAAACGTTTTCAGATCAAATTCTGTCATGCAAACGATGCAAGTTGCTCAAAGAGTCGAGCCAGGCTCGGAATCGCTACGTCAAAAGCGCTGCGAACGTGCGCCCATCGCATCACAGGTGATAATTCACACTAAAAGGCAAGTGACAAGTGAAGAGAAAAACTAGCAACTACAAGAGAACAACTGCTCAACATACCGTGTATAGTACTTGCTCTACAGATCCGCCAGAGCCTGATTTCCTGGGTGCTTTGCGCAAGGGGAAATGCGCAAGCGCCTGCGGCCTCTATGCCCTCTCCTTTACACCTTTGGTTTAGACGTTTGCTCTACTTTTGTAAAGGATAGAGTAGAAACGGTGCCGGCTTTGCTGGTTTTGTAGCACAAGCTGTGGAAACTCACACAGTATGTGATGAGAAGCATAAAACACTCCCCATGGAGAAGAGTGATGAAAAGCCTCTTGCTCCTGCACGACCTTTCGTCAAGTACTTGACTTTCGTCAAGTACGTGAATGCGAGAGTTCAGAAAAATAAAGGGCTCACGGTAGTTCAGTGCACGATGACTACGCTGCAGGAGAGAGGATGGAAGAGTAGTATTCTCGGTCGCTCTTCTTCCGGAAACCAAACTACTCATGTATCGTTTCTCTATATTTATATACAACTTTACATATACACATAACTTGTACGTAACCATGTGCTCCTCCACGTACGAATTTCTCTACTCCAGCACCACATTATCAATCAACCGCGCTTTGCCGACCATCACAGCAACACAAACGACACACTTCCCACCGCCCTCAACCGTCCCCTCGACCTCCCTCATGCTCTCCCGGTCACACAAGCTAACATACAACACCTCTACATTCGCGTCCTTCCCGCGCATATCCGCGAGCTTCTCCCTCACCACACCGCGCACGCTCTCCGCGTCCCTCTCCCCCTTTGCCCACACCGCCGTCCCCTCCCTGAGCGCGGCCCACACGCCGCCGGCCACGCTGCGCTCCGCGCCCGTGAGGTACTGGTTCCTCGTCGACATCGCGAGCCCGTCGCCCTCCCTCACGGTCTCCCCGACGACCACCTCGAGCGGCAGCCCGACGTCGCGCACGACCGCGCGCACGACCGCGCACTGCTGTGCGTCCTTCTGCCCGACGTAGAGCCGGTGCGGCCGCGCCGCGACGGCCAGCTTGAGCACCACGGTCGCCACGCCGCGGAAGAACGTCGGCCGCGACGCGCCCTCGGACCGCGCGTTGCGCGCCGCCCCGCCACACCCCGCCTCCACGTACGTCTCGTAGCCCGCCGGGTACACGTCCTCCGCGCGCGGCAGGTACACCGCGTCCGCCCCGTGCGACGCGCACAGCGACAGGTCCGCGTCCTCCGTGCGCGGGTAGGAGGCAAAGTCTTCGCCCGGCGCGAACTGCGCGGGGTTCACGAAGATAGAGGCCAGGCTTATGTCGTTGTCGCGGCGCGAGAGCGTTAGGAGCGATGTGTGCCCGGCGTGTAGCCCGCCCATCGTCGGCACAAAGCCGACCGTGGAGGTGGCAGGCAGTGAGGCGCGGTAGACGAGCAGCTCCGCGTGCGAGCGGATTATCTTCATCGCGGATGGAGGCGGGGGAGGGAGCGGGGGGAGGGAGCGGGGGGGAGGGAGCGGGGGGAGGTGACGGAGGTTGTTCTGGTGGTGGGGGCGTAATTGAGTCACTGAGCTGTCGTTGGACGATTGATGCTCAATCAGCTAGTGTTTGCAAGTTGGAGCACAGATTGCTTTACATCGTCTACGTTTAACACGACCCCGACCGTTCCTCCTTCCTTCCTCCCTTCCCCATTCCGCCCCTCCTCCGCACCTTGCACGCCGCTACGAGGCGTGCGGCACGGCCATAAAGAACCTCTTCTCATACGTGTCATAAACCTCGACGCTGACCGCGCACGCCCAGCCAAGCCTCCTCAAAAACTGGTGCTCTAACATATTCATCTCCTGCGTGGACGGCACGCCCCCAATCCTGCTCAGCGACGAGTTGCGATGCGCCTCATCCTCGAGATACTTTGCCGCGACACAAAGCGCGGTCGTGACTAGCCTATGCAGGTTAAGCTCATCCAGCGTCAGCATCGCGTCGCTCTCCCTCACGCGATCGAGATAAACCAGTGCCACGATGAGCACGCTGCGGCTGACGTTCAAGTACCTGACGAAGCGTGCGACGTAATTCCTGAGCACGATGCGGGGCCTGGCCAGGCTAAAGAACACGCTGCTGCTGCCGTCGGGGAAGCGCTCGGTCGCGTACGGCGGGGCGCGCGGGGCGCACCGCGGGCACCTCGCGCACGGCACGCCGCGCCCGCGCGCCACGCCCGCCTCGAGCAGGGCGGCCATGGCGGCGACGAGGTGCTCCTCTGGCAGGCGTGCGACGCGGACGGCGGCGTCCTCGAACGGAACGGCTGCGGG